GTGACCGAGGCCACCGAACAGTTTTCCCCAGGTCTAAAAGTTCCCTTGTTTACCGACACGGGTTCTGAAAGTTTAATTTCATCCGCGTCAACAGGGATTGTCCATAATCGTCACCATGGTCAAGAATTAGGGCACGGTGTCGCATTTAACGGTATCACCAAGTAGATCATTCCCAGGTTCCGAGGCTTCTCCTCGCCTCAGGTTCCAAAAATTTTAAACGCCCGTAATAGCAGGAAAATCAAGTTGGAGATATAGTCACCATGGTAACAGTGACGACGTTTAGCGGGACAGGTAGATCTTCCAGGTTCTAACAGGCGTTCGAAATTAAACTCGTTCGTAAAAGCAAGGAAAAACAGGTTGGACATGGTCACCATGGCCAAAAATTTGGTTACGGTGTCAACGTTTAGAGAAAGAGCCAACTAGTTCTTCCCCCAGGTTCAAACAGGTTTTCTGTTTATCGTCTCAGGTTCAGAAAATTTGAAATGGTTCGGAAAAGCAAAGAGAGACAGTTCAGACGTGGTTACCGTGATCGCGAAGCTTAGCGAAACATCCAACAAGTTCTTCCCCCAGGTTCAAAAAGTTTCCCTGCTCACTGTTTCTGGTTCAGATAATTTAAGCTCGTTTGTGAAAGCAGGAAAAAGAGGTTGGACATGATCACCATGGTCAAAAATTAGGTCACAGAGCCAACCTTTAGCGATACAGGCAACAAGATCTTCCCCCAGGTTCAAAAAGTTTCCCTTCTTATTGTCTCTGGTTCAGATAATTTAAGCTCGTTTGTGAAAGCAGGAAAAAGAGGTTGGACATGATCGCCATGGTCAAAAATTAGGTGACAGTGCCAACCTTTAGCGATACAGGCAACATGATCTTCCCCCAGGTTCAAAAAGTGTCCCTGTTTATTGTATCTGGTTCAGATAATTTAAGCTCGTTTGTGAAAGCAGGGAAAAAGAGGTTGGACATGATTACCATGGTCAAAAATTAGGGGACAGTGCCAACCTTTAGCGATACAGGCAACAAGATCTTCCCCCAGGTTCAAAAAGTGCCCCTGTTTATTGTATCTGGTTCGGATAATTTAAACTCGTTTGTGAAAACAGGGAAAAAGCGGTTGCACATGATCGCCATGGTCAGAAATTAGGTTACAGTGCCAACCTTCAGCGATACAGGCAACAAGATCTTCCTCCAGGTTCAAAAAGTTTCCCTGCTTATTGTCTCTGGTTCAGATAATTTAAACTCGTTTGTGAAAGCAGGGAAAAAGAGGTTGCACATGATCGCCATGGTCAAAAATTAGGTGACAGTGCCAACCTTTAGCGATACAGGCAACATGATCTTCCCCCAGGTTCAAAAAGTTTCTCTGCTTATTGTCTCCGGTTCAGATAATTTAAGCTCGTTTGTGAAAGCAGGAAAAAGAGGTTGGACATGATCACCATGGTCAAAAATTAGGTCACAGAGCCAACCTTTAGCGATACAGGCAACAAGATCTTCCCCCAGGTTCAAAAAGTTTCCCTTCTTATTGTCTCTGGTTCAAATAATTTAAGCTCGTTTGTGAAAGCAGGAAAAAGAGGTTGGACATGATCGCCATGGTCAAAAATTAGGTGACAGTGCCAACCTTTAGCGATACAGGCAACATGATCTTCCCCCAGGTTCAAAAAGTGCCCCTGTTTATTGTATCTGGTTCAGATAATTTAAGCTCGTTTGTGAAAGCAGGGAAAAAGAGGTTGGACATGATTACCATGGTCAAAAATTAGGGGACAGTGCCAACCTTTAGCGATACAGGCAACATGATCTTCCCCCAGGTTCAAAAAGTTTCCCGGCTTACTGTCTCTGGTTCAGATAATTTAAGCTCGTTTGTGAAAGCAGGGAAAAAGAGGCTGGACATGATCACCGTGGTCAAAAATTAGGTGACAGTGTCAACCTTTAGCGATACAGACAACAAGTTCCTCACCCAGGTTTAAAAAATTTCTCTGTTTAGCGTCTCTTAATTCAGAGAATTTGTACTCGGTCGAAAAAGCAGGGAACCATAGGTTTTACATAGTCACTATGGTCAAGATTAAGTTACGGTGTCAAAGTTTAACGAGATCGGCCAACAAGAACTTCCCCCAGATTCAATGTGCCCTCTGTTTATCGCCTCTGGTTCAGAAAATGTAACTCGTTCGTGAAGGAAGGGAAAAACAGTTTAGACATGGTCACCACGCTCAAGAATTAGGTGACGGTGCCGACGTTGGGCTATACAACCAATAAAATCTTCCCCAGGTTCAAAAAGTCTCTCTGGTTACCTTCTTTGCTTCAAAAAATTTACATTCGTTCGAAAACAGGTAACATCAGGTTGGGCCATGAGCAAGAATTTGGTTACGGTGACGACGCTTACCACCAAAGACCAAAGTGGTCTTCCGTCAGGTTTAAAAAGTTCCTCTGTTTATCACCGCCATCACCACCATTGTCAAGAATGATGTTTTGCGGTACCACTTACCAGATCATCCCCAGGTTCAAATTTTACCCTGTTTATCATCACTGGTTCCAACAATTTCAGCTCATTCGCGAAGGGCTGTCAAAAACAGGTTAGACATTGTCCACTTAAGCCAGAATGAAACGAAATGACTGTCGTGCCACAGGAGAGATCATCTTCCAGGTTCAAAAAAACCCTGTGAACCTATGAAACCTTTCCCCAGGTCCGAAAACGTTTCCCTTTTATTGTTACAGATGAATACATTCCTCGCCGGCAAAGGAAAGTAGGAACAAGCTGGTCACGGCGTCAGAGGGTCAGGATTACCTTATGGGGACACCTTTTCGTGGCACCACCATATTCTCCCCAGGTCCAAAAACTTTTCCTCCTCTAAATCAGAGAACAGATTCGGCATAGTCCGCATGCATACGCTATGAAATTATGAGGGAAATGTTGGAGATCGTCTCCACAGGACAATAACTCCTGATTAGGTGTAGCACAGCCACCGTTTACCAGAAAATGATTGTACACATCGCCTTTAACAGTAAAAATAAACAATTTATTAACAAACATCAATGAAAAATGTTCTAACAGGTTTGCATAATTTACACAAAATAAATAATATCATTTATTCTTTGGCTAAGGCAACGTCACGTGTTACAGCCGTCTTTCTGCTTCGAACACGATTGGCTAAACAGCACGGCGTCGTGTATTGTCGGAAATATCACGAATCGACAACTCTTCCCGTCGTAACTGTCGCACTTCTTTAACGTTTCAAAGACGCTTTCTGCAGTACGAAGGTTATTAGACGTTCGTAAGTGAACACGAGCTTACCCGAACACGAGCAGATATACATCGCGACGTCAATCTGTCGGTATTGTTCGATGAGTGATCGCAAAGTTTCGACGCCCGACGGATCGATGTATGTCAAAGCGGCGAAGTCGAGTATAATGCATCTGGTCAGTAGCTCCTCGCCCTCTGACCTGGTAAGGGAGTCCTGGGTGAGCTCCAGGTCTTTCTTTTTCGCCGTGAGTAACTTCATGGGATCGAAGCCGGTCCGCTTGAACAGCATCGACTTGAACGCGCCATTGGAGGCGAAGTTTAAGCTGCCGCTGTAATGGAAAATCTTAATTCCGCTCATCTCCTGAATCTGAAAGTGACAAAGTAGAGAGCGTGCTTGAAGTTCCCAAGGCGTACCCCCTTGTAGTGCTTGACGTCCAGGTAGAGATCGGTGTTCGGCACTACCCCCAGCAGGCACGAGTACGGTTTCTGTGCCTGGATGAAGATGCTGAAGAGCGATATGAGAATCCCAGCCAGTAAGCCGTAGTCAATACTGATAATGGTGGTGGTGAAAAATGTTACTATCCAAACCGTCGCGTCCCACTTACTCAACGCCCAGTACTTCTTCAGCGAGACGAACTGGATTAGCATCGACTTGAGTGCGACCACGATAATGCTCGCCAAAACGCACTGAAACGGTTGCAAAATCAGCTGGAAGACTTCTCAAGGACGAACTCACCCTGGGCAGGCTTTCGAAGACCGGGCCAATCCAGAGCAACACGGCGAGGATGATCACGCACGACACCACCGAGGCCAGCTGCGTTACACCTCCAACCGTCTGCTGGATCATGGTCCGCGAAAGTGAGGCGGTAATTGGCATGCACGAGAAGAACGAGCCGAAGAAATTGCTGAAACTCTACAAGCTTCCTCAGTATCGCGCATCGCGAACTTTAAACTCTTACGAGCGCCAGCAGCTCCTGGTTGGCATCAACTTCGTAACGCGCCTTCTGGGCGACGATCAGCGCCATCGACATCGTGATGGTATACGAGACCATCGTTATAATAAACGCCTCCATGGCTATCGTTGGCACCAAAGAAATCGATGGAAGGTCCGGAAGCGGTAGCCTGCAAACGAACTGGTTACTCCAAACATGGACCGTGAGTGATCGGCACTTACCCCGTTGGCACATTTCCAACGACGTTTAGTCCGTAGTTCTCCTTCATGTGAAACCCGTAGGAGAGGCCGGTGCCGATGACGACGGCAGCTAATTCAATCGGGAACGGAATCTTCGTCTTTTTCGCGAGCAGTGGCTAAAATGACTCGTGGCTAGTCGCTCGATGCAAACTGGGCGGAGACTTACCTTCAGGATTTCGTTGTTGATGACCATGACGGTGATAAAAACGCACGATATAACAATGGCGGCCACTTTTGCATCGGGGAGTGAACGGGCAACATCATAAATTGTCTAAAAAAAGAAGCAAATTCGTTTCAAAGGTACTACGCTTGGAGGAGGGGGGGGGGGGGCTACTTAATTCAAAACGTTCTAGAGATTTACAATTTGTAAATGACACTTCTGTTTGAATCAGCGGCAACACCGCAGTTCTAAAATGTTACTCCGAGCTTTTGGAGTTTCTAAATTTTTGAGGCACTCAATTTCAGCCGTCCCAAAATGTATAAAAATTGAGGACCCGAACTTCTAAAGCTTTTGGAATTCTCTAATTTCTTCATTTTTAAAATAAAATTTAATTCATATTAACACTAAGAGTTTATTCCTGAATTTTGAAACTTCAATTAAAAATAGAAATTACGGCACTGCCTTTGGTCAGCTTTGGATTGCGATTATACAAGTTTTATTTTTGTTGAATTTCGTAATCGCTAGAAAATACCTCCGTAAATAAAAAATATCAAGAATTAATTTCAAAATTCGAAAATCGAATTCCGCAATTCTGGAAATTCGGTATAATGGACTACAATTATGGAACACATTTCCTGAATTTCGAAATCTTAGAAATATGAAAATCACCGTAAAATAAAAAATTAAGAAATTTCAATATTCCAAAAGAGAATTCCAGAATTCCCGAAATTGTTCTCGGGAAAGATTCAAATTATAGCTTTCCCTTTGTCCAGAATTTGAAACTTATTCTAATTGTGAGTGAATTATGCGATTGTAGACCCCGAAATTGTCCGCCAACATAAAAATTCCAGAAATTTCAATATTTCAAAAGAGAATTCCAGAATTTCCGAAATTTTTCTCGGGAAAGATTCAAATTATAACTTTCCTTTTGTCCAGATTTTGAAACTTGTTCTAATTGTGAGTGAATTCCGCGATCGTAGACCCCGAAATTCTCCGCCAACTTAAAAATTCAAGATATTTAAATATTCCAAAAGCAAATTCCAGAATTCCACAAATTTGTCGAACGAATTTCCGTTTTGCCAGCAATGCAATATTGGACAATAACGCGCTGTAATTTTTTATGAATTGCGCGGTCTTAGAAACCGAAAATCTCCGCAGACATGATGAAGATGAAAAAATTTTCAAAAATTTGAAAACAGAAAAGTTTAAAATTATTACCGTCTGTGCATCCATGAGTAGTAATTGTGAAATACATTAAATTCTGCTAAGGGGGTTTTCCATGGCTCCCAGATCCCCCCCTTCGCCCCCTTGATACGTTCTGGTATGTTAGTGTATTCCACAGGAAAGAGGGATACGTGTGCTCTTCTCTAAAAACTAATACTATTATGAGAGTCTGAGCCATCTTAGCATATTCCACAGGAAAGAGGGATTCGTCTGTCTGAACTCACCAAAACACTACCTTAAAACCAAGAAAATGAAAAGTGAAATCACTAATAATTAGGTGCTGATTAGGTGCTAATTAAGTGCTCTGTTTTCAAATTCTGTGCTCCTACTTTTTTTAATTTTTACTTTCTGGGAAGTAATAATGATATGTATATCAGTAACACTTGACGACATGTCTTTGTAACCACATAGCAGAAGTAAAACTAAACAAAAAGAAGCGGAGCACAGAATTTGACAACAGGGCACTTAATTAGCACCTAATCAGCACCTAATTATTAGTTAAGTCACTTTCCAATTTATTTGTTTTTAAGGTAGCGCTTTGTTGAGTTTCCCGAACCTGCAGAATGTCATAATTTAAAGAAAAAAGGAGCATTTAATTTGGGAATAAGGCACTTAATTAGCACATAATTCGCACTTTACTGTTAGTTAGTTCACTATTCTTTAAGGTAGTGATCTGCTGAGTTCATATGAACTTGAAAGAACATATCATAATTTTAAAAAAGGAGTATTTAATTCGGGAATAGGGCACTTAATTAGCACCTAATTAGCACCTAATTATGAAATACGTTTGATTGTGTTCTTCTGACCTTGCTCCCAGGTTCATGGACATGGTTCATATGAATTCACCAAAGCACTACATTAAAAAATCAAGAAAATGAAGAGTGAACTAACTAATAATTAGGTGCTAACTAAATGCCCTATTCTCGATTTAAATGCTCCTTTATTTAAATTACATGTTCTGCGAGGTTCATATGCACTCAGCACAGCCCTACCTTATAAATCAAAAAAATGGAAAGTGAAATAACTAATAATTAGGTGCTGATTAGGTGCTAATTAAGTGCCCTATTTTCAAATTCTGCGCTCCTACTTTTTTTTTAATTTTACTTTCTGGGAAGTAATAATGATATGTATATTGTATTATCACTAACACTCCACGACATGTTTTTGTAAACACATAGAACTAAAACTAAACAAAAAAAGTCGAAGCACAGAATTTGAATACAGGACACTTAATTAGCACCTAATCAGCACCTAATTATTAGTTAGGTCACTTTCCATTTTATTTGTTTTTTAAGGTAGCGCTTTGTTGAGTTCATATGAACCTGGCAGAATGTCATAATTTAGAAATAAGACGAATTTAATTTGGGAATAAGGCACTTAAATAGCACATAATTAGCACCTAACTGTTAGTTAGTTCACTTTTCGCTTTCCTTGTTTTTTAAGGTTCATATGAACTTGAAAGAACATGTCATAAATTAAAAAAAGGAGCATTTAATTCGGGAATAGGGCACTTAATTAACACCTAATTAGCACCTAATTATGCAATACGTTTGATTGTGTTCTTCTGACCTTGCTCTTAGGTTCATGGACATGGTTAATATTATGAACTCACCAGGGCACTACCTTAGAAAACCAATTAAATGAAAACTGAACTAACTAATAATTAGGTCCTAATTAGGTGGTAATTAAGTGCCCTATTCACGCATTAAATGCTCCCTTTTTTTAAATTACGACATGTTCTGCGAGGTTCATATGAAATCAGCACAGCCCTACCTTACAAAATCAAGAAAATAAAACGTGAAATAACTAATAATTAGGTGCTGATTAGGTGCTAATTTAAGTGCCCTGTTTTCAAATTCTGTGCTCCTACTTTTTTTTATTTTTACTTCCTGGGAAGTAATAATGATATGTATTTCACTAACACTTGACGACATGTTTTTGCAAACACATAGCAGAAGTAAAACTAAACAAAAAAAGGCAGAGCACAGAGTTTAAAAACAGGGCACCTAATCCGCTCCTAATTATTAGTTAGGTCACCTTCCATTTTATTGGATTTTTAAGGTAACGCTTTGTTGGGTTCATATTTTATTTTGCCTTTATTTTTAAGTGGGCGGGGTTTCAGCCGAGGCTGCTCTACCAACCCAACCCCCTATACATTTACAAATATCCATGCCCGAACCCGGATTCGAACCAGGGACCCTGTACCGCAGTCGAGCTTCCACTGAACTGCGCTACACGGGCCGAACCTGGCAAAATATGTCATAATATAAAAAAAGGAGCATTTAATTTGGGAATAAGACACTTAATTAGCACCATAATTGGCACCTAATTATTAGTTAGTTCGCTTTTCTTTGTTTTTTAAGGTAGTGATCTGCTGAGTTCATATAAACTTAAAAGAACATATCATAATTTAAAAAAGGAGCATTTAATTCGGGAATAGGGCACTTAATTAGCACCTAATTATGCAATACGTTTGATTGTGTTCTGCTGACCTTGCTCTGTTAGAAATAAAGAACACTTACGCAAGGAAAAGGTAGTACATACCAAAAAATCGTATGTAGCTCTCTGGATGTCATAGTCCCTATGCGACTAAAGCCTCCGCAAACTCAAAAATTTGCTGTGGCTAGCACAGATACCACCCTGACGATGCAATAGTTTAGCCATAATATGGAAAGACTTCAAAAATTAATAGTTTTTTTTGTTAATTTGACACACACGTGCGACTCTGCCCCTGACTAAGAATATGTGTACCAAATTTGGTTCCAAACGGTTTAGCCGTTTGGCTGGAAGTGAGAGTACAGACGAACCGACGAACCGACATTGTAGAGATTTTATTTGTTTCGAATTCCTGGTGCTTGAAAACGAGTATTTCCGTCAAAATTGGGGGGGGGGGGGGCATTTTTTTTAGCCCAAATTACCCCATTTACAAAATTTAAAAAATCGAATTCCGAAATTATAGCAATTCTTTCAGCAAACTGTCCATCCATGGGCAGTAATTATGAGACTCATTCATTCCTAATTTTTTTATTTCCCAAAAATCTCAAAAACACGACGAAATGTACAAGTGTGAAAATTGATCTCTTGAATTCCTTATGTAAAGTCAAAAATTATGGATCGCCTTCTGTCCTGTTACGGGCAAAAATTACAAAAGGCATCCAGTTCAATTTTTTTTTTAAATTTCGCAACCGTGGAAAAATCGGCAAACTAAGAAATGAAGCAATTTACAAATTCAAAATTCGAATTTCGGAATTCTAGCAATTCTTACAACAAAGTCCAAAAGTCGGTAGTTAAGAAATGCATTCTGTTCTAATCTCAAAAAACTCAAAAATGAAGAAATTTACAAATTCGAAAATCAAATTCTGGAATCCCATCAACTCTTTTAGAAGTCAAAACTTATGGATCTCTTCTTTGAATTTCTCAATCGTGAAAAATAAGAATCTCGCAAACCCAAAAATAAAGAAATTTCCAAATTCGTAAATCGAATTCCGGAATTCTAGAGTTTCTTATATTCAATTATGCATGAGTTCCTAAAGCGTTTATTTTCCAATTTAGCAATCGAAGATTAAAAATGAGGAAAAGACGAATAGAAAATTCATCAGGTTCTAACTTTGTAAATGTAAAGAGGAGGAATTACGGCATCTTCCATTCGACTGGGGAAAAAAATCATAGAGGCTCTAAATATAGTTGTTTATGTGTTGGGAGATATCTCAATCGGATATCTAATTATTTGTAACATTCATGTGACTGCTACTTGACGTCACATCATCATGTGCTTGGTCACAAGTAATCCATTATTTTGAAATCTGAAAGGGTCATTCACACCTGTACCGCCCAGGGCCGGATTTGCGTACAAGCAGAGCAAGCACGTGCTCGTGGGCCCCCGACCTAAGGGGATCCAGCGTAGAGTGATTTAGTGACTTTTGTAAACTTCCGTATAGAGTTAGGGGCCCCATCACTACCTCGTACCAAGTAAGAGAAAAAAGCGGATTAATTCGTTTTATCAGTCGATCGAATTAGTAGTACACAAATCAATAAATTGACGCAAATGACCTTTGCCACGCGGAATTTTACTTACGAAAACTAAGGCGAATATTCCCTTGCGTTTCGGCAAGACGAGACCGAAGAGGTCCTTCAGCTGCGAGGTGGCGACGTGGAAGGCGGAGGCGCACGTGAATGCGTTCACCAAAGTTTCGGACAGCAACGTGGTGACGATTCCTAATCTAAATATGTACATCAACATCTGAAATTAAAGACCTGAATTTAGGGCGTGGAGTCTTCGGGGTTCACCTGAAATGCTGCCACGGTGAAGGTTACAGTGGTTGCGACCTGCATTGGAGTGTAATAAAAGTCTTCGTTGAAGTCCGTCGCATTGGCGCTGGTGCCATCGTTGGAGTATTCCGAGACTACCTTTCCAGTCATTAGGCAGACCACAGCGAACGTACCCATTGAGACATGCCTGGAGGTGCCGAACAGGACGTAGACCAAGACCGGAAAGAACGCCATGTATAGACCGGTGATTGGTGGCAGGTTGCCCAAGAGAGCGTAGGCCATCCCCTGAAAAGGGCGAATCAGTCCAGGTTCGTCCTCTTGGAGCACTCACCTGTGGTATATGCATGATCGCTATGGTAAGTCCACTCGCCAAATCTCCCGCGATGTTCTTCCGCCAATTGTAGCGAGGCAACCATTTCAAAATCGGAACAGTATTGAAAATGCACGATTTCGCCTTGCACGAGGCGAACTTCTTCTGCACCGTCCTTCTAACTACAAAAATCAACCTAAACCGGCGACCAAAGCCCGAAATCACTTACGATCCGGCGTTCTGTACTGATAGGTGGTCACCTCGTTGAGCTCTTCCGTCTGGTACACAGGGCGCTGAACGTGTAAGGCTGCTTGGGTCACGAACCTCTCATCTTCCATACCACTGCAACCAAAACCAAAATGTTAAAAATCGCAATTTCCGAAACCGAAGACAACCTCATCAGGTAAGTGGTCGTTCGTAAAAGTAAAGGCTCTTTTTCCGTACCCATCCTGTGCGGTGCGAGGTTAGACTAATACCGCATCTGTCTACAATGTGACATGACGAGTTCCTCATCGATTAGCGCCGAGCGATTAGGTTCACTAATAGCCACTGATAAGCCGGTTAGTCATCTGTTTATTTTGGAATGCGGAATTTGGGTCAAATGATAGCGAGGTGGTCGCAAACGTATCTACGTACCTTTATCTTTGACACGCAAACGCCGTGACCTGACAGGTGTCAATGTCAACCGGTGTTGGGAGTAAACGCATATTCTCTCCCAAAAAGTATTTCGCCTGAGGGTTTGAAAGCACGTGTTAGAATCAAGAATGGATTTCGAGGCATGGTAAGCAGTATATCTTTTTCATTACAAGCATTATTAGTGTTCACGGTATATTTTGTTGAAAGATCCTCGTATCTTTTGAATAGGTCGCTCAATATATTGTTGGAATAATTAGTGGTTAAATTAGCCTCTAACTCCGTAGGAGGATATAATTGCGTTTTTTTTTCTTTTTTATTGTAAGTACCGCCATTTGCATTTTCCATAATTGAAGTGTATCGTTTCTTTAAGTCTCGGCTGATATTTGTCATATTGCAATTTCCATCGACGATTCATGTCTAATTAGCCGTCTTTTTTAAGCGGTAGGTACGCCGAAGAGGCACTTAATTAGCGCCTAATTATAGTTAGTTCACTTTTCATTTTCTTGGTTTTTTGAGGTAGTGCTCTGCTGAGCTCATATGAACCTGGCAGAACATGTAATAATTAAAAAAAAAGCATTTAATTCGAGGATAGGACACTTAATTAGCACCTAATTAGCACCTAATTATAGTTAGTTCACTTTTCATTTTCTTGGTTTTTTGAGGTAGTGCTCTGCTTAGCTCATATGAAGCTGGCAGAACATGTAATAATTTTAAAAAAAGGAGCATTTAATTCGAGGATAGGACACTTAATTAGCACCTAATTAGCACCTAATTATAGTTAGTTCACTTTTCATTTTTTTGGTTTTTTTGAGGTAGTGCTCTGCTGAGCTCATATTATGAACCTGGCAGAACATGTAGTAATTTAAAAAAAAGGAGCATTTAATTCGGGAATAGGGTTGTTAATTAGCACCTAATTAGCACCTAATTATGCAATATGTTTGATTGTGTTCTGCTGACCTTGCTCTGCTAGGTTAATGGACATCTTTGTTTGCCATTGCGAGTCTTTCAGGTTAGCGAGCCTCCAAAATGACCGGATTTTTGGCACTTTAAGAGATATATTGCTGCAGACCCCTTTAAAATTCAAACGGATGCAGAGGAAGCAGGAGATGCGTCTAAAAGTTTCTGCATTTGGATTAATGAAGCAATGGGCGCGACTAAAGGATTTTAAGCCTCAGAAGTTCGCGAGACTTCAATTTTTTGGCACTTTAAAAGAACAAAATTGAAGATTTGCTGTTGTAGACTTTTTTAAAATTGCAACGAATACAGTGGAAGTCGAAGATGTGCCTACAAGCTTCTCCAATTGGATGAATGGGGCAATAGGGGCAAAGAAAGGATTTTTGTTGACATTTCAAGGCTCTCAGTTTAACGAGACTCCAAGATAACTTCAATTTTGGCACTTTAAGAGAAGAAAATTGAAGATGTACTCTCAAAGAAAGAAAGATTCATGTTTTCATGATTGTATTGGGTAGGGTTATTTGATTTTTTATTTACTGGGGAGCAGTTCATATCTCCCAGACCCCCGCTATTACGTTCTCGCACAAGAAAGGACACCAAGGAAGGAATATTCGATGGGTTTTTTTAAGTATGTCGAAAGGGTTCAGGGCATATTTCGGGGAAAAAACACAACACCAGGGGATCAAAGGGATATAGAACCCACCTCCCTCCCGCCTCTCAGTATTTTACGAAATATCCTTGCGTAGGATTTCATGATTGCAGGGACAGGGTCATATGACTTTGTTTCACTGCAGGGTTTTCCATACTCCCCAGACCCCCAGGTATTACGTTCCACCTAAAAACGGAATCCAAGAAAAGAAGACTTTATGGTCTTTATTATACTACCCCCTTAGAGTATTATAGCTTAGCGTATTTCGAAAGAAAACGTCATACCGGGGGGTATGGCGGGTGAGGAATACCTTCTAGTATTCTACGAGATCTTCGCGCGTATAATTTCATGATTGTAGGGAAAGGGTCATATGATTTTGTTTCACTGTGGGGTATTCCATACACCACAGACCCCCAGTATTACGTTGCCACCTAAAACGGAAGCCAAGAGAGGAAGACTTGAAGGTCTTTATTATATTACCCCTTAGATTATTATGGCGTAGCGTATTTCGGAATAAAACGTAATACCGTGGGTCTGGGTGGTACGGAATACATTCCCACCTAAAAACGGAGGCCAGGAAAGGAAGATTTGTTGGTCTGTATTATATTACCACCTTAGATTATTATGGCTTAGCGTATTTTGGAAGAAAACGTAATAGCGGGGGGTCTGGGGAGTATGGAATACCTCCCTGTATGCCACGAGATCTTCATGCGTATGATTTCATGATTACAGGGAAAGTGTCATATGATTTTGTTTCACTGTGGGGTATTCCATACTCCCCAGACCCAACCCCCAGTATTACGTTCCCATCTAAAAACGGAAGCCAAGAGAGGAAGACTTGATGGTCTATATTATATAACCCCCTTAGATTATTATGGCGTATTTCGGAAGAAAACGTAATACCGGGGGGGGGGGTATCCTGTGGGGTATGGACCCCCCCCCCCCGTATTCTAGGTCTCTACGAGATATTCGTATTTATCATTTTTCATGAATGTAGAGAAAGGGTGCTATGATTTTGTTCCTCTGTGGAGTATTCCGTGCCCCCAGACCCACCGGTATTACATTCCCACCCAAAAAAGAAATCCAAGAAAGGAAGACTCAATAGTCTTTCTTTAAATGTTCCCGATAGACTTAGGGCGTAGCGTATTTTGGAAGAAAGCGTGGTTTGGGAGGTATGCCCCCCCCCAAGTATTCCACGAGACCTTTGTGCGGATGATTTCATGATTCTAGGGAAAGGGTCATTTGCTTTTGTTTCACTGTGGGGTGTTCCATGCACCCCGGTATTACGGTCTCACCCAAAAACGGAAAGCAACGGTCTTTTTTAAAGTATCATGATATTCTTCAGGGCTTAGCCTATTTCGGAAAGAAATCGTAACACCGGGGAGTTTGGGGGGCATGGAATAACCCCTCCCCCTCCAGTTTATCACAAGATTTTCAAGTGCATGGTTTCATGATTGCAGGAGGAGGGGTCATCTGATTTTCGTTTCAAATGAAGATTTGCTGCTGCAGATTTTTTTAAACTTGAAGCCGGCGCAGTGGGATCCTGAGAAACGTCTACAAGTTTCTCCACTTTGGCGAATGAAGCGATGGTGAGCGCAAAGAAGGGATTTTTGTTGCCATTTTAAACCCCTCAAGTTGGAGAAACTCCAAAAGTGGTCTCCATTTTGAGACTTTAAAGGAAGGGAATTGAAGAATTGCTGCTGTAGACGCTTCCCAATTAGCAGCGGATGTAGTGAAACCCGGAGTGCGTCTACAGGATTCTCAAGGTAATGAATCTTATAGCCATTTTTTGCCTCTCCAAAATCGACACCCAAATATGAATTGAAATTTTCCATTTCCATTTTAGCGCCTTTAAAGTAAAGTAAAGTTTCCCGTTCCTAGTTTCCTGTTCTCCGTATCCAGATCCTTGCTCTTAGTTTCATGTGTCAAGCTCATCTTCTTGTTTCCTGTTTATACATTTTACCGTCCAGTTTTACGTGTACCTCCGCTGCCTTTTTCTTTTCCTAGATTCCCATTCCAGTTTTTCTGTTCCCGGTTCTCCGGTTTGGTTGTCAGTTTTTTGTTTCCAAACTACTCCCCAGATACCTCTTCACAATATCAAGCTTCCAGTTATTTATTTTTTATTGTTTTCCTCCTCCAATGTCTAACTTGTTGTTTGCTGTTTCAAAAATCCTCTAACTTCCCTTAGTGTCCGGTTTCCAGATTTGTTTTCCATTCCGCATTCTGCCTTTTTTGTTTCCATTTCATTGATTCTAGATCCCTATTTCGGTTTTCTTCCTCTTTTCCAGACTCCAGTTTCTATTTCCAGCTTCATGTTTCCCGTTTTCTGTCCTAACTTGTCTGTTTCCTGGTTTCCTGTTCGCCATTTACCGATCACTGTTTCCATCTTTCAGATTTCGAGAAGGGTTACCTTTGATTTTTTTTAGGGGTTTTAATTCTAGTTTTTGTTTATGGTACCAGTTTAAATTCTAATTTAAACCAACTGTACGGACCAGTTCAACTTCCGGAAACGTTTTACTATACACACATAGGATTCTTGGTCGCCGTACGAGTTCATAACCTTGCTCACCATTTGTCTGCCTTTGACATATCTTCCACCTGCTGATGACGAGCGGCCATTTTCTGGAATTAGGTCACCGGGTCATGAACGACATTTGATATCGGGATTCGGTCCTTCATAAACAGACAACTTCCGTAATTTTTAACGTATTAGTATTAACTATTTTTGCACATTCAAGTAATTTGTTTATCTCTGCGATCTCGGTTAGGTTATGATCGAGTTAGTAACGCGAATGATAATCTTTCTGAAGCGGTGAAACGAGTAAAACGAGGCCCTTCAGGCATTAGTCAGTTAATTGTGCACCGAGTTCTGCAGCTTGGGAGGTTTTCTTTTGTTTGCAGGTTTTGGGATCCGAGAACTCGGCCCACTTCTTGGCGTGAACGTTTAATTTTATGTTGTCGCCTTTCTTGTACTTGGTCCTATAGATAGGTGCGTATTTGTGCCCGGAGTATCAATTTATTTTTAGAAAGTTGTGTTAAGATTCAGTGATTAGTTTGGTAATCGATCATTCTTGACTGGAAAAATTTTCAATTGCAGTCGAGA